GCAGTCAGCACAGAGCCTGACGCGGGGCTCGAACCCACAAACCCACGAACCCTGAGCTCATGCCCTGAGCCGAGGTCGGACGCTTAACCCACTGAGCCACCCAGGCGCCCCTCTGTTGACGTTTTAAACGCCCATGCGTCTTGCCCGGGCCGTTCCACTTAGAGGTAATTATCCTAGAGGGAGACGGACTCGGTTCAAAGTGGGTAGTGGCGGTGCTAATACCAATTGCAGAGAGAAGAGAAACGGTAAAAGTATCACCCAGGTGGGGATTGGTTATGTAAATGGCAGGGTACGTATTCTATCAAATACCAGGCAGCCCGAAGAGAAATGAGCTAGACATTTGTTTAGTGACATGGAAGGTTTTCCAAGACATATTGCTAAGTAAATAAAAGACAATCAACAAATGTGTAGGATGTGTGCTTTTCATTTTTATTTTTTCCCTGTCCCCCCCCCCCCCACGCCCCGGGATATATGATTTTTAAAACTGTGTGAATAACTATGTTGGTGATTGCATTAGAAAACTATAGTAGAAGAGAGAAACGAAATTGTCAACAATCTTGCTTAACCTAACGCTGCTTTGCTAAAACGTTCAATGATGTGCTCCAAAACCCTGCAGGGTGTTCACGGAAAATGATACCGCGGCGGCGGACGGCAATTTGGCAGTTTCTCTTAAAGATGAACATCCAGGGGCGGCGGGCTGGCTCGGTCGGAAGAGTTGCTACTCTTGATCTCGGGGTGCTGGGTTGGAGCCCCCGTTGGGTATAGAGATTCCTAAAATAAATGCCCATTTTCAAATAAAAGGAAATACTTAAAGCTAAACGTCCATGTCCACAGGACCCAGCAATTGCACTCCTGGGCATTGATGCCAAAGCAACGGGAGTTTAGGATCACACGAACACCTGTACGTGACTGTCCGCAGCAGGTGTCTCTGCGGCAGCCTAGGACTGGGGACGAGCGGCCAGTCCTACGTGCAGCGGGGGAATGCTTGAAGCAACTGGGCGACCCACATCAAGGGGCGTAGCCAGCAACACGAGGGAAGAACTGCCTACGGATACGCGCAACAGTGGACGGATCTCAGGGGCGTCACGAGGGTAACCCCCAAAAAGCCCACCGCGGGTCACTGAGACGGACTGCACACGGCCTGGTTCCATCTTCCTAAGTGTTCAAATGACCACCTCGCAGCCGGGCAGACAATCCTGGTGGCCGCGGGTGGGCAAGGAGGCGATGGGAGGAGGCTGTGGTTGCGAACGGTTAACAGGAGGGGCCTTGTGAGGGAACCAACTGGGCGCGGATGCCCCGGGCGTCGCCTGTGTCTAACACGCGTGGGGAAACCGCAGAGCCACGCGCGGGCGCACACGCGGGTGCAACACACCCGGGGCAGCCCTCGGACGGCAGCAAGGCCACATCCGGGTGTGTGACGGCACTGGATGTGCGCCCCGCCGATCCCCGGTATCTGCGGGGGGCGCCCCGGCCTTTGTATGCAACTTCCGTGAGTTCCACTACTTCAAGACCCAAACTCCGGCCGAGAGCACACAAGCAGGGCTGGGGGGCGCCACACAGGACGACTCGCGCGGCCCTGCACGCAGACGTCGTGCTCTCCCGGCGGGGACGTCCAGGCGTCACGCAGTCCTCCGGGCCCGACGCCGGAAAGGAGCGCGCGGGAGCGGAGACTAGAGGGGCGGGCAGGCGGCCGGCTTGTCTTGATTGGGCAGGGAACCAGTCCGTCAGGCCGCGGGACCCGGCTTCCGCCGGCGGCCTGGGAGCGGGTCCCATCCCGAGCCGAGCCTGGTCATTGGCGGAGCTAGCCGGAAGGGGTGGGGAGGTGGGCGGTGCCCCGCGGCGCGTGGGGCGGGGCTTCCTGTGGGCGCGCTGAGGGACGTTAGGAGGCGGGGACGGAGGCGGGGACGGAGGCGGGGGCGGTCGGGGCGCGCGGGCTGTGCCTGGACGACGCCCCGGCTTCGGGACACCGCCCTGCATCCCGGGGCTCTGCCCTGCGCCTCTCCGGGTCCTGGGCCCTGCCAGCGTCCCCGTCCCCCGAGGCCTGAGGACCCATGCGTTCCTCTGGGGGGAGGCCGACGAGAAGCCTCCATCGAGTCCAGGCTCCGGGAGGCCGCGGGGGGCTCCGTCGGGCCTGTCGCCCACTGGCACTGCGTCGCCAGCCCCTCCCAGCCCTGGTCTCGGAGAGCGGCCTTGCTGTGCGGACCGGGGCGCATCCAGCCTCCCGGGGGCAGATCGCGGCCCTCCCCCGCCCCCCTCTGCTTGCCCGGCCCACTGTGCGTTCCAGCCGCCCGGAGTGTGTCTGGAACAGTCCTTGTAAAGCATAGATCCCGACCTCCACACACACACAGGCCTAGTACCCGGGAAAAAGTGGGCAGAGCTGGTGCCAGTACCCGCGAATGTGGTGTTGGCCAGGGGAGCTGTCCAGGCTCCTGCAGGTGAGGACGGCAGGAAGGTAAAGTCTTTCCCATGTCGCTTGACAGGTGCGCCGCCCCCCCGCCCCCCAGAGAGTCCTGCGCAAGTCAGCCTGTTCTCCAGGACCACCCGTGGTTGTCCCTGCCCGTCACCTGGGGAGGTCACAATCAAGGGGAGCCCCGCAGAGAAAGCTCGCGGCTTCCCTACAAGTGGGTGCGATCAGGAGCCATCCGTTCTGGCGGTTCTCACGCTGCAGGGCTGCGTGGGAACACCTGGAGGGCTTGTTCAACCTCGGGTCACTGGACCCCGCCCCACAGTCTCTGATCTTGCAGATCTGAGGTGGGGCCTGAGAACCTGGGACTCCACGAAACCCGCCACCGCGGGTCTGGGACCTGTCTGTGGGACTCACTCTCCGGAGGCCTGAGACTCACTCCTGGGTGTGTGCTTGCCCCCAGCCCGACGTGGGCGTGGCCCCTTGGCAGGGTCCCCACTGGCCTGGGAAACGCCAGGAGGGTGCTAGCCCTCGAGGATCGGGGACTTCCCGAGGAGGGGCGGTCACCCTTTCCTGCCCGGGTTGGGCCGGAGGGCACCGTCCACAGCCCTGGGGGGGGTGGGGAGGAAGGTGTCGGGTTTGTACAGGCGCTTGGCAGTTGCCAGACGCGGTGGCTGAGTCTGGCCGAGTAGGAGAGAGGGGCGGAGATCAGACTCCGTCGCCCCCCCCGTCCCCCCCCCGCCGTGGGGATGCAAAGAAAGGTCTGATGAGGCAGAGGCCAGAGCCGCACCCTGAGCTCGGGGATGGGGAAGGACCCTGGGCCCTGAGACCGAGAACGTGCATTTGGAGGCAGCGCGCAGACCGGAAAGGCGGTCGTCTGCCCGGGATGGGCCCTGCCGGGCCTCTGGTCTGTGGGTGCGGTCGGCCCTCTAGCCGGTGGGAAGCCGCTGCCTCTCGTCAGCAAGTCGACCCCCCCCCCCTGGCCCCGGGCGATGCTGTCCCAGGCCCCCGGGGACGCGGCCCAGAGCTGCTCCGCGCCCGCACCACCACCGCCACCCACCCACCAGGGCCCGTCTTTTTGGTGGTCGCTGTTTGTTTGGCTCCGTGCTGCTCGTCCCCGGGTGGTGGGTGAAATGCAGTGCCCGTCACTGGCCGCCGTGTGTCCCCACGAGGAGCAACTCTGCCACGTGGCACACGAGCTTGTGTTGGCCGTGGGGTCGGATGGGGAAGTGTTCGGTGGTGCGTGTTCGCCGCCTCCCCCTGGACCTGCCGGGCCTGGCGCTTCTCCCGGCAACTGCTTCAGGCTCTCCATGCGTTAGCGCTCCGAGCCCTGAGTCACGTCTCGCTGCTCTTTCTTTCCCCGCGCTGTCACTTGTCTCTTGACTCTGTGGTTTTGGGTTGTGTCAGGTCAGGCAGACGCGTTTAGCTTTTGTGTCATCGGACTTTCCAGGCATTTCCTAACGGGTTCCGGGGTTTCTCTGCTCCGGACTTGCTCAGAGAGGCTTTCTGCACGTACTGCGGTGTCTTCGTTACCCACGGCTGCACGGCGACTACCCCTCCCACAGCTAAGCCCTGCGATCTGACCTCCACGCCGTCTGAGGGCAGGCTCCTCGAGGGCGGTGGGGGGCTCTGGCTCAAGGTGACTCCCGGGCCGCAGTCCAGGCCTCAGCCGGGGCCGCGGCCACCCGGTCTGCCTGGGGGCGGGCCCTGGTCCAGGCTGGCTCACGTGGCCGTGGCGGGGGCCTCAGCGCCTCCCCCGTGGGGCCCCTCCAGAGGGCAGCACAGGGCACGGCCTCCCAGAGCCAGGGATGTGCCAGAGGAGAGCCGGTGACAGAAAGGTCCAGAGAGCGAGGGAGCAGAGGGGGAGAGAGAGACAAGACACGGGCCCCGAGAGAGAAGCCTCGGCCTTTGTAACTTCATGTCTGTGCCGCTGTTCCCTCCTCTGCTGTGTTCTAGGTCACACGGGTCCACCCGGAGCAGTGCCGCAGGGGACGACACGCACGACGAGCGTCCTGCCTCCTGAACGTGGTCCCACAGGGCCCCTCGGGAACACACACGCCCTTTGTCTAAAGGGGGGTGGCCCGTTCCGGCCCGGGGAGCGAGGCACGCAGGGCCCGCGCTCGTTAAGGGCAGAGACTGGCTCTTCCGTCGTTAAAGGGTTGCGGACAAAACACACAGAAAGCCAGAGACAGAAAGAACATGGGCCCGCGTTCCCGGCGGGCCCCGATGTCCACGGCGCGCTTTCTGCCCTTTGCAGGGCAGTGTGCAGCCCTGGCGGCGGTCCTGGCACAGGACCCCGCCCGGGGCGGGGGGCAGCCGCCCTGTGAGGCAGGCAGGGGGGACCTGCCTCCTCACACCGTTGCCCGCCCCCGGTCTGGCGTTGCGTAGGCTGGCAGCCCCCTGCTGGACTCTGGTGGCTCAGCTGGTGGCAGGCCCCGGATCGCGGTGGGGGAGGGGGTGCAGCTGCCACTCCAGGAAGGAGCCCCCACTGTGGCCACAGGAGGCCCGTAGCATCTCATTTCCCTGGGGAGATGCCCACCCCTCCCCCGCCTTCCTGGCTGGGACTCGGAGATGACTTCGCCACGACACGCTCTGACACGCTCTGACACTCTCTGACAGGCTCTGGAGTCCTTGGCGTGTCCCGCCGGCTCCGTGGGCGGGGCCTTTCCTGTAGACTGTGGCTGCCGCACGGTGCCCGGGCCCTCGCTGCAGCTCCTGGCCCCGTCGGGGGCCGCCCTGTGCTGTTTGAACCTGGGGACCGACCGAGGGACTTGGGGCAGCAGCGCTGTCTCCCAGGAGCAGCAGCAGACACCCGGGCCTTGCTTGCTGGGCCTGACCTCGGGGACCGTGGTCGTGGCTCCTGGGGACATCCCCCAGCCAGCGAGTCGGGCGGCTCGGTCCTGCAGCCGGCCCCGCGGAGACACGCAGGCCCAGTGCGGCCCCGCACGCCGGGGCCCCCTGACCGGCGGCGTCCCCGTCCCCCTGGCGTGTGCCTGAGCCGAGCCGCTTTCTCGCCCCTCAGCCCTGGCAGGAGGACCAGCCCGGAGGGCCCGGCTTCCCAGGCGCCCTTCCCTGGGAGGCCTCCCTCCCCGGGCGGCTGAGGAGGGGAGGGGCAGGGAGTCTTCCCTTTCCCCTCACCGGGCCACACAGGGGCTCCCCCTGCTGGCCAGCTCTGTGGGTGGGCGCACCCCCGCCCCAGGTCCTGTGCCCGCTCACCTGCGGTGCCCATCCCTGCGCCTCGGCCTCTCTGCCCGAGGACGTCTGCGCCCGGCCTGCCCTCAGCCGCTGTGCCGGCTCAAGGGCAACCCCCGTCCCCACGCACGGCTCCGTGCTTTGCTCCGCCCTCCCCTGCAGGCCGCGGCCTGGCTGGGCTCCTGGAGACCTGCGGAGAGACAGGGGACCCCCGCGGGGAGCGATAGAGGTGGCGGAAGCCAGCCCGACCTCTGAGCCGCACAGCACTGCACAGAGGCCCCAGCTGGGTACGGCCCTCCCCTGGATGGCCCTGCCCCGGAGGAGGGGACCGCACCCCCGGGGGGCCCGCCTGCACTCGGGAGGGGCCCTCGTGCTGGGGGCCTCCACAGGAACCCCGAGGGTCCCCGGAGTAAGGTTGCCCTTGTTGATGTGCTGGGACTCCCTCGCTGTCTCGGGCGGGTGGCGGCGCCACCCACTTTGAGGAGCCCGGTGCTCCCCTTTCCTCGTCCCAGACCCCTTCCAGCCTCTTTGGGGCCCGGGGGGAGGCGGGGGAGCGCGGCAGGCAGGCAACAGGCAGGGTCAGGTGCAGAGGCGTGGCGGGGGGCAAGGCCGGAGGCTGGCTGGGGGGCGGGGCTGCTCAGCTTCCCCCTGCCCTGTGCTGCCTGGACCCAGAGGGGACAGGACCTGCCGGCCGGTGGGCAGGCCGCGTGCTGCTCCCCAGTATGGGGACCAGCGGTCCCGTCCCTACACCTGGTAGATGGGACGGGGCCAGCCTGGGGTCGGTGTGTGGCCGGGACCGCTCCTCTGCTCCCGGCGCCCCGCCTGGCAGGCGGGGCTCAGGCGTGGGGCGCGGTGGGGCCGGGCCGCCCCCTCCCCGGCTCCGGGCAGGCGAGCAGGCCTCCCCCGCCTGGGGGCGAGCCCGCTGGGGGCCCGGCCTTGCCCCTCCCTGCCTCCTCCTCGCACCTAGCACCCGGGGTGTCCCTCGGGGATTCTCCGGGCACACCGTGTCCCAGCCTGCGGGCCGCTCGCAGGACGGAGTCCCGGTGCCAGGTGTCCGTCCTGCCGCAGAGCCCTCTGCAGGGATGGCGCCCCCTTCTGCTCCCTGCCTGGGCAGGGCCTCCTGCCCTGCAGCCTCCGTGCACAGACCTTCCCCCCCCCCCGCCCCCCTCTCCCCGGGGCCTCAGGGGCTAGTTCCCCATCCCCAGGCTGGCATCTTTCGCCCTTGCTTCCCTGCGTCTGTCACAGCTGCCGGGAAGGATGTGGCATCCATGGAGGGACAGGGACTCCTGCTCAGCCCATGAGTCTCAGCTCTGGGGCTGTCCTTCTGTGGGGACCCTGGCCAGCACGCCCAGCAGAAGTGGTGGGGCCTGACTTTATTCACCTGCGTGCCACCTGCCTCGAGTGCCCGGTGTCCCGAGGGACTCACCACCGGGTCCGGCCCAGGGTGGCAGAGCAGCCCGTTTCCAGAGCATTCGGGATGTAGCGCCTCTTTCCCGTCCTTTAGCATCTGACGGCCTGGTGTAGTTTCTGCTCATGGAGGCACAGACTGTGCACCCCTTGATCTGGAGTCTTTTGTGAGGGCGGTTGTTCGTCACTCGGACCTCGTGGCCCAGAAGGCACGTGTAGTCGCTGCCCTCTGTGCTGAGGGCGCGGCCAGGCAGGCACAGCCCCAGGTCTACCCAGTGCGGTCCTCTTCCCCCGGACTTATCAGGGCCCGGTGTTGGAGGGCCAAGGTCAGGAGCACTGCTTCCAGGCCACGTCTGTAGGGCACTCCTCCCTGTCCCTGTCCTGGGGTGCTGGTGTGCTGACACCCCCGATGCCCTGTCTGGGGCTCCAGGGCCTCTCCTTCGGCAGCAAGGCTGACACCCCAGGCTCCAGCCCAGCCGCTGTGTCCTGGACCGAGGGCAGCTACTGCCCCCTCCTGTGCCCCTGGCCGCCTCAGGAACCCTTGCGGGGGTAAGGAAGACAGTACGCTGTTGGCAGTGGGAATCCTGGACCCCCAGCTGCCCTGTCGTGAGACTCTGGAGTCGTAGGTTCCTTTCAGGAGAGGCGCCTGTGGGAGCTTTCCCAGAGGTAGTCCCAGATTCGTAGAGAGCATTAAGTCGAGCCTTGCAGCCGGTGCTCCATCAGGGCCCCATGGAGCCATCAACAGCCGTAGGACCAGAGCACCCAGAGCAGCAGAGAGCACTTGGGTGCCTGCTGCGGATGGGGCACAATACTACGTGGGGGCGCAGAGCCTTCAGAGCACTGGGAAGGGTATGGGAGCACTCAAGGGCCCAAGGAGGCCTGGGGCCTGGGGCCAAGCTTGCGGTGGAGTCCTGGGGAAGGCCCAGGACCCTCCAAGCTATTGAGACTGTTATGACAGGGGTGTCTCTGAGCCCTAGGGCAGGAGGCTCAAAGGTGGAGCTCCCTAGGGACTGGGAGAGTCCTCAGCAATTTCCAGCTGGCACGTGGAGGGCAGTGCAGGTTGTCTTTGTGGAGTGAATGGAAAGGGGGAGACTGTGTCCCACGGGTCCGACCCAGTCCTCTCTTCTCTCCTCCAGGAAAGCACAGTGGTTGCCAAGCACACCTCGTCTCCTCCTTTCCTGCAACAGCGAGAGGCCTATAGGGGACGTCACATCCCGAAGCCCTGCCGCCTCTCTCCCTTCCTTGGGATGCCTCTAGCTCAGCTCCCCTTCCCCACACGCTGTGCCTTCGCTCTGCCCCAGCCTGTCTAGAGCGTCACCACGTCAAGCTTGCCACTTTCCCAGGCTCTGTGTTGGGTCCACTAGTCTCCACTTGCCCCTCTGCCCGGGTGCTGACTGCCGGTGGGGCAGCTGTACTCCCAGGCAGGGTCAGTCCCTCCTGTCTATGCACTTGATTGAGGATCAGTTGGTGAAACGAGTTGCATCACTGTGTCTCTCCGGGGTCCTGGTGCACCAGTGACCTGACATAGGCTCACTGATCTGACTGACCATCAAGCCCTTTCATCATTGGGGAGGAGGCACCATTTTGTGTCCATGCCCACCGCCCACCACGGAGCAGACAGGTCTAGGCCCTTGCTTTGGGATAGCCAGGGGCAGAAGCAGGGAGCCGGGGTGGGGGGAGTCCTCACCAAAAGTGGCTAGGCCCCAGCGGGGGAGGGTGGAGGGGGTGGTGGTGAGCTGGGGTGGGAGTGGCTTGGAGCAAACAAGGGAGGCTGAGGCTGTGGGGGTGGTGAGAAAACGAGAAAGGATTCATTTCTTTCATTTTGTTCCATAAATTCTAAATTCACGTGTTACTTTAACACACACACACACGTGGGAGAAAGGTGAGCATGCAGGAAAAAGAAATGGCCAGGAACAAGGACGGGGTGTCCCAGTTCCAGCCCTGACCCAAGATCACCGTGTAGCAATCAACAGGAGCCCGTGGGTGCTGTGCCCAGTACGGTGGGCCGGGCCGAGTCCTCCCACCTGAGCAAGGAGCTGCTCAGAGGTGAGGGACGGATGCCAGGGCCGAGCCTGTTGGGGAATTGTGCGGGAGCCTGGGAGCCACCTGAGCGCTTGGAGTACCTGCCCCCCCCCTCCTCCCCCCTGCCCCAGCTGGCAGTGTGAACCAGCATGCAGGGCCTGCTACCCTAGGGCTCCTTAGCGCTTGCTTTAAGAAACTATGTGTAAGGGCACCTGGGTGGATCAGACAGTTGAACGTCCGACTCCTGATTTTGGCTCAAGTCATGATCCCAGAGTCGTGGGATTGAGCCCTGATTCAGGCTCCAGGCTGAGTGTGGAGCCTGCTTGAGACACTCCCCCCCCCCCTCCACTCCCTAGCTTGTGCTCTCTCTCTTAAAAATAAGTAAATAAATAAAAAGTATAGGTAAACTCTGGGGCACCTGGCTGGCTCAGTCGGCAGCGCTCTGTGGTCTCTTGATCTAAAGGGTGTGAGTTCAAGTCTCACGTTGGGTGTATACGATCCTTAAAAAAATGTGTATATATGTATGTAAACTTGGAAGATTATGAAGTAGCCCCACCCCCACAGAAAGCTTGGAGATTAGCAACAATACAGCCAGGGGAGGGGTTGGATTGGACCCAGAAGCGATGAGGCCTTTCAGCGTACCTGAGCCTGCTCCCACGCCACTAGGCAGGCGGCCGGCCAGGAGAAACCCCGGCAAACAGAGGTCTCCTGTCCCTTCCATGGCCCTGCCCTCGCGCAGTGAGGCAGGCTGTCAGCGCTTCTGTAAGTAGCACTGTGCGTGTACCCTTGCCTGCATTTCCCAGGGGGCTCTCCGTGCCCTGCGGTGGTGGCAGTTACTGTCCTAAGTAGTTATGGCAGCCCTGGGGAAGAGGTCAGGGACCCTACAAGTAAAGCACAAACACGCCTATGGGCAGCGTGTGATCTCCACCCCAACCCCAAAGCCACAAGGGAGAAGCAATAAAGCCAGATGCCAACCCTGGAGACCCCCGGCCAGGGGAGCCCCACCCATACCCAGCAGAAATAGCCCACACGTTAAAAATAAATGGTCTTTTTATTGTGTGTCCACGAAAACAAAGTCGGGGGGGCTTTTGGTTAACCCCCCTCAACGATGTGACAACGGACAGGAGGCATGCAATGACAACAACCATGTTCTCCTCTCCGGGAGAAGAGTCTTGCCCTCCTGGGCCCCAAGGGTCAGAGGCAAGCAGGATCCAGAAGGCTCCAGAGGAAGGCCTGCCCAGGCCCCTCCCCGGCACAAGGGCCAGGCCAGTACTCCCAAGCCAGGACACACAGAAAAGTCCCCCCCCCCTCCCCCAGCAAACACTACTAAGGCAGTCAGCCAGGACATCTGAGAGCAGGTGGCAGTGACGCCAGACCCTCAGGACTCCGTCCAGAAGGGACTGCCGTCCTCAGCCTGCAAGGAGTAGTTCACAAAGAGCAGGAAGGCAGCAAAGCCCAGGAACAGGAGCAGCTGGGCCCAGAGAGGGACCTGGCGGTCCGGGCCCAGACCAGCCCCCGGGGTCTGCTTTTCCGGCCGGATGGCGCGACGGGTGAGCCACGAAGTGGCGGGGGACGGAGATGAGGACATGGGAGCAGGGGAGGAGGAGGTGGGATAATAGGACAGGCCCAGGGAGCTCCTGGACGCGCTGGATACAGGGCGGTAGTGCACGATGCTCTGGTAGGCGCTGTCCCGGCCGTATGCGGGGCGCTCCCTGAGGCGGGGGTGGGGGGTGGGGGTGGGGGGCAGAGGGGAGCGGATGAGCCAGGATGCCAGAGCCTCCAATCAGCCGCGGCGCCTGGCCCTCCCTCCTACTCACCTGTCCTTGCTCTCCTCTTCAGAAGAGAAGAGACTGTCGTCGCGCACCTGTAGGTGAGTCAGGAGTCAGGAAAGGGGACTAGCAGGCGGGGTCAGTGCCGCCTGTCCCATCCCTCAGTCCACACTTCCGCAGCGGGCCTATTGTGACCGATGCTTAAAGGCCCAGACCCTGCCCCTCCCAGGACTCTTCCGAGTTCCGAGCCTTGTGTGTGTAGGGCTTTGTCACTTGCTCCACGAGTGTCCTGGCTGCCTTCACCTTACTTTCTGCTCCAAGGTTCTGAGAAAGAGCTCAAAGCTAGATCCCACACCAGGGTGCTCTTAAGGCATACCCCAAGTGCTCTAGTCTTTTTTCTTTTTTTAAATGTTGATTTATTTTTGAATGAGAGAGAGAGAGAGAAAGAGAGACAGAGCATGGGGGGGGGAGGAGAGAGGGAGAGAGAGAGAGAGAGAGAGAGAGAGAGAGAGAGAGAATCTGAAGTAGCCTCCAGGCTCCGAGTTGTCAGCACAGAGCCTGACTGACGAGGGGCTCAAACCCATGAACTGTGACATCATGACCTAAGCCTAAGTTGGACGCTTAACCAACTGAGCCACCCAGGCGCCCCACAAGTGCTCTATTCTCAACAGTTCTGACAGCCCCCCAAAGGCCAGTCCTGACCAGGAAGGCGGTTGCTGACCACACCTCTCTGGAGGTATGGGAGCCACCATTTGCCCCCAGAGGCCATCCTGGTTCATCAGAACGCAGCTATGACCCCCTCAGGCAGCACCCAAGCGCTCAACGGCCAGCTCACCTGGTGGTGAAAAGCGTCTGTGTCTGAGAGAGAAGTTGACGACTGGCAGAATCCCTTCGAGGTGCCCACAGACTCAGGCTCCCCATAAGTACTGGTGCTCAAGTAGCTCTCCTCATAGTAGTCATCACCATAGCCTTGGGAAAAGGTGGGGGCCAGCGATAGCAGAGGGGACAGCAGTGTCCCCTGCTCGGCTCAGTGGACCTAATCTGAATCGCATCTGGGGGCCTGTGGCACCGTTTCGCCCCTCTAGGGCTGCCGAGGATTATGGGGGTTGAGATCTCGGGTCCCCCCCTCCCCCCAGACACCACAGTCCCAGAGGGAGGGCAGTAAAGGTGGCTGGGTGCCCGGCCCCCCCCCTCCCCGGCCTTACCCTTGCTCTGGTAGAGTAAGGCGTCCTCTTTCTTGGGCAGATCGTACATATCCGAGTCCACCGATCCCGAGTCTAAGTCTGAATGGGGCGAGGTGTGGGGGGGCCGGAACCATTTGCCCCCGAGCCTCCCCTCCCTCTCCCCCGTGCCCCCCCCTCCCGGCCGGCGCCTCTGTCGCACCCTCCCGACTCGGGCCTCCCTGGCGCCCAAGCCCCGTCCCCACGCGAGGCCAGCTGGAGCTCTGGGGCGGGGGCCTCACCCGAGAACCGATAGGAGAAAGACGATGAGGACGAGCTCGGGGGCAAGAGCCTCCGCCTCTGGGTCTCGTACTCGAAGATCTTCTTTTCGTAGAGCTTGCGGGTGGAACCTGGTGAGATATGGGACGCGGGGCGGTCAGGGTCGCGGGCCGGGAGCCCGGGGGCGGCGCAAGGAGGGGAGCCGCTCGCCGCCGCGTACCCACGACAGGCCCGTGCGGGATGTTGTACTGGCGCAGCACGGCGGCCAGCTCAGCGTCCGAGAGGACTGCGTAGTCGTCCATGGCGAGTGGCGGGGACCCGGGGGCGGCCCGAGGCCTGGCGACGCGGGCCGAGCTACCGTTGCCTCAGAGCGCGGCGGGGACAGCGCGAGCGCCTCGGGAGCGGCGGCACTCGCGTCACGCTCGCGTCACGGCCGCGTCGCAACCCCGGACTCTGCGGACTGCGAGCGCTGGGCGGGGCGGGGCCGGGCCTTGAGCAGCAGCCGGTGCGGAGCCTCCTGGCCGTGGGAGCGGGAGGGGCGGGCCTGACGAGCCCTGACGTCAAAAACGGGCGGGATAGGCTGGAGGCAAAAGAGGGCGGGGCGTGCGCGGAAGCCAGGACTGCGCATGCCCGACCGGCCGCGGGAACGGGCGGGGCCCCGCACCCCGGGAAGGAGGCGGGGCCGGCGAGCCTAGAGACCCCGCCCGCTGGCGCGTTCAGGAGGGCCTTGAGAGGCGAGCTGGGCCTGCGCGTGAAGGGAAAGAGCGTGGGCTCGTCGGGACGTGGGAGCGGGGCGGGGTCAGCGGCCGAGGCGTCAGCGGCTGGCGTGTCACGGCCAGAAGGGAGGAGGTATGGGGGGGCTTACGCAAATCGAACCGGCAGAAACCGGCCAGGACAGGAAAGCCGCCCGGGACCGAGGCTATGGGCGTGGCTCGCGCGCCCCGAGTCACGTGGGCTCCATCCTGTTCCCGCAGTCGCCGCAGCCCCCGTCCCCTTCCATACCCGGGACTCCTGCGCTTGGGGTTCCCCGACCCGCCGCCCCTGCAGCAGCGGGAAGGACCCGATCCTAAGAGCGAGCCCCTGGAGAGCGCGGGTCCCAGGCCCGGCGCTGCTGCCAGCGCTTCACGCCCGTGCCCCACGCCAGGGAAGAGGCCGCCCCAGAACCCCTGTGCCAGGCCCGCCTTCCCGCTCTACGCGATCCTGGCCCGCGCACCTGCGCCCGCCGGCCCGCCGGTCCCCCCCGCCCCCCTCCTTCCCTCCCCACTCCACTCGGGAGGAAATGGGGCACTGGGCCAGGAGGCCGCCCGCACTCCAGGAGCAAGCAGCCTTGCAAGGGACTGGGCGTGCCAGTGGGCACTGGCAGAGGGCCGAGGGTACGCCTGACCCACCGTGCCATCCACCTGGGGCGCTGGGGACTTTCTCTCCTGTCGGAACGGCTGCCCCCGGTCGCCCCAGGAGGCAGCCTGCCAGGGGCCAGGGGGCGCAGGACCTTCCACACCCAGAGGGCCTGCTCATGGGTTCCAGTGTGGCTTGGCAGGCTCTGAGTACTTGGGTCTGGGTGGGCTTCAGGCCCCGTGGCAGCGCAGAGGGGGCCCCCAAAGACAGGGATCCAGGGTCCTGATGTGGGCGAACCATGGAGGGCTGCAAGGGCTGCGGAAGAGCGTGGACTGCCATTAGGAACTGGTGAGGGCCTTGGTCAATAAAGAGCTGTCCCTGGGGAGAATGGGAAGGAGGTAATAATCAGATTGTGAATGAAGCCAACTCATGGAATGTGGGTCCAACTGATGTGCCCCTCCCTAGGCAGCCCGGAACTGAGAGCGTAGGGACAGGAGGTGTTGTGTCTGATGTCAGATTACAGCTGGTGACAAGGAAAAGTGGGAAGGGCCCTGATCAAACCCAGGCTGCTAGGTCCAGCTGGTGAGGGTCACAGACCAGCTCTCTATGAGTCGTGGGGTGGAGAAGAGGTAGCCACACACGGAGTGGTGAGGAGACGTGGTCCTGATGTGACCGCGCACAAGGACTCTGAAGAGTTGCTGCGGGCTGGCTTTTAGAGTACAGGCAAAGCCTGCTCCGTCTCCCAAAATAGGAGGAGGAGGTGTGTGGGTCCCCAGACCAGTGCATGGCAGTGGCAAGGGGAGAGCCTGGGCCGGGCGGGGGCTCGCTGCTCATCTTTCAGAGCAAGGGAAGACATGGCATTTGAGCTCGAGGCGCTCAGAAGCGGCCTTATGGAATTTTGAGTTTTGGCGAGGTCAGATTCCCGAGCACCTCTCCAAGCCTTCTTCTGCAGTGCTGGCCTCTGTCCCAGAGGCTCGGTCCTCCTCCACGCCACCCCTCCCCATAGTGATCCAAGCTGTTTCCTTATGAGGTCAAGGAATTCTAGGTTTGCCTTCTCCCCAAGGAACACCCCTTCCCCCGGCACCTGCCTCGGCACTCTGCCTTTTATGTCCCACCCATTGCCCCACCATGGGGGTCCCATGACGGATGGCACCAGGAGGCTGAACTGTAACTGTCCCCTGCACCCACCCTGTGGGCACCTGTAGCCCTGGTCTGGCCCCACCACAGTGCAGGTCTATTCCAGACCACCAGAAACCAGCCAAGCCCTTGACCTTCGGAGCTGAGAAGCCCTCTGTACCACCCCCATCACACAGAGGAGGAATTAGGGGCCTCGAGAGGGAGGTGACTTGCCCAAGGACTTCTAGTGCAGCAATTCCATCATGGACGTTCCCAGGGCTAGTATTTAGTTCTCCGGGCAGTGACCTGGACAGCCTGAGGGTTCTGAGTCATCACAGGGGCTGTTGGGGGAAATCTTGGGCCTCCAGTGGAGTCTTTCTGGGAAGGGTGTGCAGAGGTAAAGAAGAGGAATTTCTCTGGAACCGCAGCCGGGGTGAGCAGGGTTAGGAAGCGAGTGATTCCAGGTCAAGAATGAGACCATTTCTGTTTTTAGGATGGGAATGGCTTCTAAGCAGTGTATTGTATAACTTGCAGTCCCAGCAGGATTGAAAGTTACAAGGAAAAATATCAACACAAGTACATTCCTCAGGTTCCATGTCCAAGGAGACAGTTGTTCACTGAGCTGTTTAGCATTTCAAGATCAGAGGGGCACCTGGGTGGCTCAGTCGGTTAAGCGTCCGACTTCGGCTCAGGTAATGATCTCATGGTTCGTGGGTTCGAGCCCCGCGTCAGGCTCTGTGCTGACAGCTCAGAGCCTGGAGCCTGCTTTGGATTCTGTGTCTCCCTCTCTCTCTGCCCCTCCCCTGCTCATGCTCTCTCTCTCTCTCTCTCTCTCTCAGAAATAAATAAAACATTAAAGATTTTTTTAAAAAAAGATCAGAATCTTCTTGATACTTTAGTTTGATACAAAACTAAACTTTTGAAGGATGTTAAAGATACTTTGGGCTTTACGTAGTGGTATTCAAATACTTTGAAACATTGCTCAGGTAGTAACAAAAGACATAAGGTCAGGACTCCTGTCAAAATAAGTATGTGGAAGATGGTCAAAATAGATATAAAAACTTCAGCAGAGAACAGCGGGTGGCGTACAAACTTTCACCTCCCCTGAGCCTGCAGGAAGCGGAGACCAAGAGCTGCCTGTCTTTCTGGGTCTTTCTGGGTCGTGTATGGAGGAGGAGGGAGATGGTAGCGTAACAGGAGGATTCACATGGAGGTGGGGATCCCAGGATCCAGCCGCGTGGCCATAGCCTCCTTTGTGAACCCCGCCATCCAATGTGTGTGGTAGCGTGCGTTTCCATCCTTGAAGGACAGTCTTGGCCATAAGCCCCGGCGCAGCGATCTCACAGGCCTGAATTCATGCCGGTCATCCATGCTCGTGTATCAAGTGACAAAACCACACAGCTCTCCCCAGCGGGGGGGGGGGGGGGGTAGGGGGGGTTCCCACCGGAGGGAGCAGCAGGAGACCCTGGGACTGCTGGGAGATCCCACTGTGGGTCAAGGTGGAAGGTCATTGCCAGTGGAGCCAGCAAAGGTGGCAACGAAAGCAGGGAGGCCTGGAGCCCAACGAGCGCCTTGCTGTTAGCGTTAAGCTGTCAAGCTGTCGATCCACAGCCAAATTCATTTCCTGAGTATGACCAACTTCTTTCTCCGTCCTTTCTTTTCTTCTTTTCTTTCTCTCTCTTTTTAAATGTATATGTATTTATTTTGAGAGAGGGGGAGAGAGAGAGTCCCCAGCAGGCTCCATGCTGTCAGCACGGAGCCCCATGTGGGGCTGGAACTCATGAACAGTGAGATCATGACCTGAGCTGAAACTAAGAGCCAGATGCCTAAAGGACTGAGCCACCCAGGCGCCCCTCTCTTTCTCTTTTAATGACGTAGAATAGAATACAAAATATCAGAGTGCTTTTCAGGTAGTAAGGAGAAGCCTCATTTCGTGAAACGTTTCTTTCAGTTACTTGGGTCAATCTGTGTGCGTGTGCCTGCCCTCTCGCACGGGCAAGTACGTAATACTGGCTCAGGATGTAAAATGTAGTTCTTATTGGGTTTTGTGGGCAAAATGTTAAAAACGACACTGCTTTATGTGGCCTTGCCCAAGGAAGTGACATTTGAGCAGAATCTGAAGCTGCCATGCAAGAGGCATGTAGAAGAGGAAGAGGAGCCTGGTAGCGCCAGAGCAGGTCTGTGCCCACCCAGTTCCCCAATACCTGACTCTCGGGCTGCACCGCACTGGGCACGCACAGACTTCGGGACCGCCTCTAACCCTGTTCCTGAGAATCAGTATCTTTCTGCTGCTGGCTCCCAGGACAGGCCTGGCACCTAGCAGGGGCCAAGTCGGTGGCCGCGGGATGCTTGTTGGCACGGGGCTCGGCCTCTGCCCCACTGTGGCCATGCCAGTTGTAGTTCAGTGAACACCTGCAGCTGACTGTTGTTCGCCGCCCCCCCCCCCGCCCCGGGAGGGGCAGAATCCAACTTGTCCGGCTAGCCCAGGCTTGGGGCAAATGCAGGGGGCCGTGACTGTGGGCGGTGGCTCCCTGGAGGGAGGGGCCTTTCCCGCTGAGCTGAGATGTGGGGCCCGTAGACCCCGCGGGATCTTGAGGCAGGCACCCCCACCCCCAGGCGGACCTCGCCGGGCGGTGAGCTCATCGGGGGTGGGGGGTGGCGGCGTCGCCCGGCGGCCCAGGCGCTTGAGCTCGCGGCGCGCCCCCGCCCCCCGGCTCCTGGGCGATTTTACCAATTAAGGCTTTCTCGCCGGGCCCGGCGCGGGGCGGGCGCGGGGCGGGCGCGGGGCGGGGGTGCGGCCAACAAGAAGGCGGGCAGCGGCGGCCCATTCGCGTGGAGGCGCGCGGCGCGCAGCGGACGACAGCGAAATCCCGAGGCGCCCGGCGCGGGCGCGAAGGCAAACCCGGCGCCACCCCCGCAGTCGCGGGCCGCCCGCGACGAGAGCAGGTGAGGCCTCGGCGCGAGACGGTCACCGCGCAGCTTGCGGATGGGGAACCAGGGTGGCAAAGGGGGGCGGAGAGGTGCCAAGAACGCGG